TCTCTGATGGTGAACAATACCTACCAGAAGGTACTCCAAATTATTGCAAACAAGAAGGAAAGGGGTCTGAAGTGCCCTATGTGTAACTTTTCTTTTTCTTCAGGGACAACCTCTGTGTAAAACCTGTCAGATAGATTTAGCTCCCTTGGCTGCAGTAACTTCCCCAAATGGTCAGGGATTCCTGAGAGAGATGCTGTCACCACCTAGTTCAAACCCACCATCTACTTCTCCCGCACCTTCCCCGGTGTGTTTAGAAAACCCCAGGAGGAGCTCGGAGCCTGTGGCTCAAGTGGCTAAGGCACTAGCGGGTTCGAATGCACTGCGGGCCTGCCAAAACAACAATGACAGCTACAACCAAAAAATAGCCAGGCATTGTGGCAGGCGCCTGTAGTCCCAGCTATTTGGGAGGCTGAGGCAAGAGAATCGCCTAAGGGCAGCACCTATGGCTCAAGGAGTAGGGTTCAAACCCAGTCCTAGCCAAAAGAACCCCCTGCAAAATAAATAAATAAGCAAATTTAAAAAAAAAAAAGAGAGAGAGAATCGCCTAAGCCCAGGAGTTGGAGGTTGCTGTGAGCTGTGTGACATCACAGCACTCTACCGAGGGCGATAAAATGAGACTCTGTCTCTACAAAACAACAACAGCAACAACAACAAAATCTGCTCTTTAATGCTCAGTTTAGTGGCTCACACCCATAATCCCAGTGCTCTGGGAGGCTAAGGCAGAAGGATTGCTTGAGTTCAGGAATTTGAGACCAGCCTGAATGAGAGTGAGACTCTATCTCTACAAAAAATGGAAAAATTAGCCAGGCATGGTGGCATGATCCTGTAGTCTTAGATACTTGAGATGCTAAGGCAGGAGGACAAAGTTCAGGAATTTGAGGTTGCACTGGGCTATATGAGTATACCATTATACTCTAGCAAGGGGGACAGAGTTTGTCTCAAGAAGAAAATCTGTTCTTTCAATTAAAAGATATGTATCAGTGGGCACCTTGTAGTTCCAGCTTGGGAGGCTGAGGCAAGAGAATTGCTTAAGCCTGAGAGATTGAGATTGCTGAGAGCTGTGACACCATGACACTCTACCCAGGGCGAAATAGTGAGACTCTGTCTCAAAAAAACAAACAAAAAAAGTAACACATCTAGAAAATAGAAAGATTATCTCTAGATAGAGAGATCAGGAAGTTTTAATGTCCATAAATATTGCTTTGTCCAAAAAAGAGAAGTTTAAAGTATTTTATGCTGACTAGGCACAGTTGCTCACACCTGTAATCCTAGCACTCTGGGAAGCTGAGGTAGGAGGATTGCTTGAGCTCAGAAGTTTAAGAACAGTCTAAGCGGCTCGGCGCCTGTGGCTCAAGTGGCTAAGGTGCCAGCCACATACTCCTAAGGTGGCGGGTTTGAATCCAGCCCAGGCCTGCCAAACAACAATGACAGCTGCAACCAAAAAATAGCCAGGCCTTGTGGTGGGCGCCTGTGGTCCCAGCTACTTGGGAGGCTGAGGCAAGAGAATCTCTTAAGCCCAAGAGTTGGAGGTTGCTGTGAGCTGTGATGCCACAGCCACTCTACCCAGGGGACAGCTTCAGGCTCTGTCTCAAAAAAGAAAACCCAGGAGGGAGACTGTTCCAAGAGTTTCTTCTGGTCCCATTGGGGCCCCCAGAAGGCAACCATAGCCTTCTTCTTCTTCTTCTTTTTTTTTTTTTTACAGACAGAGCCAGTAGAGTGCCAGGGTGTCACAGCTCACAACAGCCTCCAACTCCTGGGCTTAAGCAATTCTCTTGCCTCAGCCTCCCAAGTAGCTGGGACTACAGGCACCTGCCACAACGCCTGGCTATTTTTTGTTGCAGTTTGGCCGGGACTGGGTTCAAACCCACCACCCTCAGTATATGGGGCCAGTGCCCTACCCACTGAGCCACAGGCACGGCCCACAACCATACCCTTTTTTGTGTCCCTTGGTTAAGCCTGCAAGTGGTGAGAGGGGAAGTGTGTGAGTATTCACTCCATTTTCTCTGGCAGATTTAAAACAAATTAAAATAGATTTAGGGTAATTTTCTGATGAGCCTGATAGATACATAGATGTTCTCTAAGGGTTGGGACAAAGCTTCGACCTCTCTTGGAGAGATGTAATGCTACTACTAGATCAAACTTTAACTTCAAATGAGAAAAATGAAGTCATAGATGAAGCTAGAAAGTGGGGTGATTTGTGGTTCAGTCCAATACTGATGGCGTATGTCTCCTGAGGAAAGGGACAGATACCCATGGGAAGACAGGCAGTTCCCTTTGAGGATCCTGAATGGGACCTTGATAAACAAAGTGACTGGTGGCATAAACATTTTCTAACATGTATCCTGGAAGGTTTATGTCAATCGAAGAAAAGACTATGAACTATTCTAAGTTGTCTACTATTTACCAGGAGCAAAATGAGAGTCCCTTAGCCTTTCTTGAGTGGCTTAGGGAGGCTATGAAAAAACACACTCAGTTGACACCCAACTCTTTAGAGGGCCAATTATTTTAAAAGATAAATTGTCAATCAGGTGGTCCCAGACATTTGAAGAAAACTCCAGAAACTGGCTCTAGGCCCAGAGCATAACCTGGAGAATCTTCTTAAAATGGCCACCGTGGTCTTTTATAACCGAGATCAGGAGAAAGAGGAGGAAAAAGAGAGAAAAGACAGAAAAAGAATGACAGCTCTAGTAATGGCACTCTGACAAACTGGCACCATTCAGGGGCAGAGGGAAGCCAGAGGAACTAAGAACAAGTGCTTCCAATGTGGTCAGGCTAGCCACTTCAGGAAGGACTGCATCCAGTAGCACCGCTGGCTAGGCAAGCCACTGGGCTGCTATCTGGAATGTAAAGCTGACCACTGGAGGATGGCCTGTGCTCAGAGGCAAAAGCCTCACAGGACAGTGATTCCATCAGCGCCCAAACTGGACTGAGGGTGCCCAGGGCAGATTCTCATGGCTCCATCTTGTGTCATCACTCCTCAGGAGCCCCGGGTCTGCCTCACAGTGGAGGGCCAGGAGACAGAATTTCTTCTGGACACTGGAACTACCTTTTCTGTACTCCTCTCTAACCCTGGTCTTCTATCCCCTAAATCTGTAACTAGGAAAGCTGGTTACCAATTTTTTCTCTCAACCTTTAAGCTACAACTGGGTGACTGGCTATTCTCTCACACCTTCCTAATCATGCCTGAAAGTCCTGCTCCCCTTTTGGGGAAGGACATACTAACTAAAATGGGAACAACCATTTATATGAATGTGGAACAAGAACCTAGTCTATGCCTTCCCTTATTAGAGACAGAAATTATCCCAGAAGTGTGGGCTACTGAAGGACAGGTGAGAAGAGCAAGACCCAATCCAGACATGGTTTGGTATACAGATGGAAGTTCTTTCATAGAACAAGGAATTTGCAAAGCAGGCTATGCTGTAGTTACTCAGCATGCTGTAATTGAGAGTGGGTCTCTCCCTTCAGGAACCAGTGTGCAATTAGCTGAAATAATAGTTTTAACTTGTGCTTTAGAAATTGGGCAAAACAAACGAGTCAATCAATATATACACTGACTCAAAATATGCCTTCCTCGGCTCTGTACCCATAGCACAGTGGTAAGGCGCTGGGATTCTTTCTCCTCAGTCTCCCAAGTAGCTGGGACTACAGGCACCCACCACAATGCCTGGCTATTTTTCATAGTTGTTGTTATTTAGCAGGCCTGGGCTGGGTTCAAACCCTCCAGCCCTGGTGTATGTGGCCGGTACTCTAACCACTGAGCAACAGGCACTGAGCAAGGGATCATTTCTATTATTCATTACTAGAGAAGTTTCTCTGAACATAAAGAGCACTGTCCCAAATGCTCTAAATGTTAATTTATTGTTTCATTTTTGCTTCTGTTTTTATAATTAGTAAATGTAGAGGGGCAGCACCTGTGGCTCAGAGGGTAGGGTGCCCGCCCCATATACTGAGGGTAGCAGGTTCAAACCTGACCCTGGCCAAACTGCAACAAAAAAATAGGTGGGGCTTGGCGCCTGTGGCTCAAGTGGCTAAGGCTCCAGCCACATACACCTAAGGTGGTGGGTTTGAATCCAGCCTGGGCCCCCCAAACAACAATGATGGCTGTAACCAAAAAATAGCCAGGCCTTGTGGCAGGCGCCCGTGGTCCCAGCTACTTGGGAGGCTGAGGCAGGAGACTCACTTGATTCCAGGAGTTGGAGGTTGCTGTGAGCTGTGATGTCACAGCATTCTACCCAGGGAGATAGCTTGAGGCTCTGTCTCAAAAAAAAAAAAAAAAAAAAATAGGCGGGCATTGTGGCAGGTGCCTGTAGTCCCAGCTACTTGGGAGGCTGAGGCAAGAGAATCGCCTAAGGCCAAGAGCTGGTGGTTGCTGTGAGCTGTGTGACACCATGGTGCTCTACTGAGGGCGATAGAGTGAGACTCTGTCTCTACAAAAAAAAAAAAAAAATTAGTAATTGTAGAATACATTTCATCATTTTATTTATAAAATTTTTAGTTAAAAACATTTTTCAATAATTCTCACAATTGACCAGACGCAGTGCCTCACGCCTGTAATCCCAGCACTCTGGGAGGCCAAGGCAGGCGGGGCTCAGGAGTTCTACACCAGTCTGAGTAAGAGCCGGAAGCTGTAGTAGGCACCTGTAGTCCCAGCTACTCAGAAGGCTGAACAAGAGGATCACTTAAGCTCAAAAGTTTCAGGTTTTCTGTGAACTACAATGCCATGGCACTCTACTAAGTGTGACAAAGTGAGACTCTGTCTCAAAAAAAGAAAAGTAATTCTCATAATAACTCTTTGAGGTAAATATGAACATTATCCCCATTTTAGAGATGAGGAAACAATATTGATGCTAAATAAGTAATTAAGTGAAGCAGGATTTAACCCAGCAATATTTTTAAATAGTCAAGCTGAACTACAAATTTTTTAAAAATGTGTTAATGTACTTAAATTTAGGCTTTAGTATTTAAATATTAATAAGAAGGTTCTTTGGAAAGCCATTTACCTTAATTTCTCCATATCGAAAGGGATTTTGTACATCTCGGGCAAAAACGGTGGTGTTCCCCCTGACCTGACCTGCCGTCACCACGCCTTTGGTGGTTACCATGACCACTGTTTCATTAGAAGAAGTCCAGGTGAAGTTACCACTACCACCCTCTACCTGTAAGAAAACACATTATATTTAATTACTAAGGGAGGAAAAATTGAATGAAAACTTGGCTTGTTTAGGAAATAATAAATAAGCAAGAGAAATACTAAACAGAAATTAATTAATGGTAGTACCACAAAATGTCAAAGAAAGGGTATAAGAGAACTGAAGAAACCTTTATAAAACTCACAAGGAAAGGATATATGAAAAAGAGACAAAGTCTTGATGTAAATGACAGTATTCAAGAACATAATTTGGGTGTTGTCAAAAACTGAGTTATACTATTAGGATCAGGAGGAAATAAAATTTAACATTAATAAAATTTCAATAATTAAATCATCAGAGAAATTGACTTATCTCTTTGTGAAGTCTTAATACCTGTACTTTATAACGATATACCATTCCCATAGGATGATGAGGAAATGCCAGAAAATTGGGTGTAAGCTTGATGGGAAAATAAATCATCACTTCTTGCTGGTGTTTGATTAGACGTTTCATAGGCTGAATATTTGTATTCTATAAGAGCAGGGGAAAAGGAGCAAAATATATTTTATAAGGACTATTCTTTTAAGACACATTCATATACTCAAAACATCAGAAAAACGGTGTGTTAATAAACTACTCAACTGTTTTTTTTTCCTTTTTTGAGACAGAGTCTTACTTTGTTGGGCTCGGTAGAGGGGGCCTTGGTGTCATAGCTCACAGCAACCTCAAACTCTTGGGCTCTAATGGTTTTCTTGTCTTAGCCTCCCAAGTAGCTGTGACTACAGGTGTCCGCCACAATGCCCAGCTAATATATATATACATATATATATTTTATATTTTTAGAGTCAGAGTCTCACTTTGTCACCCTTGGTAGAGTGCTGTGGTGTCACAGCTCACAGCAACCTCCAGCTCTTGGGCTTAGGCCATTCTCTTGCCTCA